TTTTAATAATAAATATTTCAGTGATGAATGATTTAAATTTCCAAAATTTTTCAATAATGTTAATGAAATTGTTGAATTTATAACTAAAGAACCTAAAGATTCCGATTTTTCAAAAATTGAAGTATTAATTTCATTTGATATTTGATTACAAGTTTTTGATTTTTTAATTAATGAAAGTAATTTATTTAATGAAATTAATTCTTTATTTGACAAAGTTCGTACTGATGATGATTGATACTGATAATCATTTGTATTTAACAATGTAGCAAATGATGGTAATTTCACACCTATAGAAGCTCCAGTATTTGGTAATATTGGTTGAATCAAAGCTTTAACAGCTAATTTTGAATTTAATTCATCTTTTAAATCTTTGTTCTTATTATTATTATTATTACCATCATTAGCATCATCATGTAAAATCTCAGAAATGTTGAACCCCAACTTCACTTTATCTAAAGAATTGTCCTTATCATTATCATTATCATGATCATGATCACTACTTGAACTATTATTATCTTTATTATCCTTACTACCATTTATAATAACAAATCTATCATTATTATTTAACCTTGATTTCGAACACCTTTTACGATTTCTTCTTACGGATTGAATAGCGATTCTAACTAATCTTATAAAATCATTTAAGCACTCACTAGGGTATTCGAATTCTTTTAATAAAGTAAAAGCACATTCTTGAATTTCTCTTTCTTGTTCACATGCTTTCTTGGCGCTTAATCCCATTGAATCAATTAATTTCAATCTTCTTGATGAAAAATTTTTCCATATTACTTCATCATGGAAATTTAATTTCTTACGTATTTGACTTGTCGTACCAAGCTTACAGTCCTGATCATATGCAAATATCGACATATCTTCATAGAATATAAAATTTGAATCAAATTAAAATTATAGTTAATTTAAATTATTTTATTACTAAAAAAAATCAAAAAGAAAGGGCGCCAAAAAAAAAAAAAATTTTAAAAAATTTAAAGTTATTCACACAATTTGGAAAATTAAACTGATAAAGAGACAAGTAATCACCACCGAATTGTTTATTACTAATAATTTATTTGAATCATTTTTGGTGTTGTTGTTATTGTTGTTATTTGTTTCTGTTTCAGTTTTGGTTTCTGTTTCTCCAATGACTTTTATACGGTTGAAAGCAGTTCTACTAGTGGAATTACTATTGTTTGCCTCATTAATATCATCAAAATCATAATCATAATCGACATCATTGATACCTATAGTATTACTATTATTATAGACATTTTCCAAGATATCATAAATATTTCCCGTCTTTGCGTTTGAATGTAAATTTGTTTGTGCAGGAACCTTATCTGAACCATCCCGGTAGTAGGAATAATGATGACCTTGAAGTTGATGCAAGTTTGAGTTTGCGTAAGGGTGAGGGTGCGGCGGTTTTATGGAATCTAAATCATCTCTTTCTAATTCCAAATCTTCTCTAGTGAAAATATCACGACTAGGATCAAGAAAATCTTCTAAATGATCAACTTCTGATAAAGTATTAATAGTAGTTGAAGAGTTATTATTTACAAATTCAGTCATACTTAATTCGTATGGATTTTGTTTGCATAGTTTTTCTAATAAACCAAAAGTTTCTGGATTATATGCAGGACAATATTTTATACATTCCGATAATACTACTCCAATATAATAACATTGACAATTAGAATTTGAATTTGTACAAACTTGATAATTTGTCTTGACTTTTGAATGACAAGATAGATATTTAACATCATCCTATAATTTAAAAAAATCAAAAGTATTAAGTTAGTTTTATAATTCAATTATTATTGGTGAAAAATTAAAAAAAAAAGTTTTTTTTTTTTTCATATATTATGACCCGCCCAAATAAATCGACGGTACTTAACTTCTTATTAAAATTATTTTAATTTAATTTTAATTTATCTCATACGCATAATGGTCCAAACCCCAAAAAATTCTCGGGTCTTAATAAATCTTTTGATAAAACTTGACCAAACAATAAGGCCAATAATAGAATGCACTTGAAAAACATTTAAAGAATTTTTTTTTTTTTTTGAAAAACAAAGTGATTAGAGATGTAGATTGTTGAAGAGTATAGATGATATAGACACTACTTGAAGTCACCAAAAAAGAATAAAACGAAAAAGAATTACTACTCGTAGACATAAACACTATTCATTAGAGAAGGTAAAGAGATATAAGAGAAGTTGAAAAAAAAAAAATCTATTCATTTTGTCTTTGTGTAACGAGGACCAAAAAGAAAAGAAAATAAAGAAAACATACATTTTGAGTGATAACGCATATAGAGATAACGCAACATTTAAAGAGAGAAATTTGGAACGCACTTAATAAGTTTACTGCTGCTGCGTACAATAAGTGCACATTTTTTCTTACTTTTTTCTTACTTTTCCTAACTATTACTTTGCATTTGCTGCACTACCTTTATACTTTTTTTTTGTTATTATTTCCGGTCTTTTGATTCTCGATGAGATCATAATTTATGCATGACCCGCGCCTGATTTTCTACTTTTTTTTTTTTTGCTCCATTGAACCATGAAATCTGGGGTAATCAGAAGAAAACTTTAAAAATTTACCCTTTATCCCGGCTACACTTGAACAATTGATCAATTTTTTATAATTTTTTTAATAAATTCTTGCTATTGTTCCGTACAAACGACTTATTTGGATAGCCTTTCATCCTACTTGGAAGTATATAAATTCATTTAATGTATAAAGGGAAATGTTGTAAAAGTAATAAATTATAAATTAATAATAATATTATTATTATATATACATATATATATATATTAATATTTAAACAGCCGGGTATAATTATCAATATATAAATATATAAGTTGTCTTTAATCCTCTTTTAGTTTTTTTTATTTTTTTTTTTCATTTTTTATTTTATATATTTATTTAATTATATTTATTTTTGATAAACTATATAAATATTTATATAATTATTTGATTCAATATGCCATTTACAAAGATTGATACTGTTGCCGAGGAAGATTATTTCGAAAATCAAATTAGAGAAATAGAAGAATGGTGGTCTCAACCAAGATGGAGAAAGACTAGAAGAATTTATACTGCAAGGGATATTGCAGAAAAAAGAGGTTCTGTTCAATTTGAATTTCCATCAAATATTATGTCCAAAAAATTATTTAAATTATTAGAAGAACATGATAGAAATAAAAGTGCTTCTTTTACATTTGGAGCTTTAGATCCAATACATATTACTCAAATGGCAAAATATTTGGATACAATTTATGTTTCTGGTTGGCAATGTTCTTCAACTGCTTCATCATCAAATGAACCTGGTCCTGATTTAGCTGATTATCCAATGGATACTGTACCAAGAAAAGTTGATCATTTATTTTCTGCTCAAGTTTTCCATGATAAAAAACAAAGAGAAAGTAGATTGAAATTACCAGTTTCTGAAAGAAAAAAAATACCTTATACTGATTTTTTTAGACCAATTGTTGCAGATGCTGATACTGGTCATGGTGGTATTACTGCTATTTTAAAATTAACTAAAATGTTTATTGAAAGAGGTGCTGCAGGTATTCATATTGAAGATCAAGCTCCAGGTACTAAAAAATGTGGACATATGGCTGGTAAAGTCTTGGTTCCAATTCAAGAACATATTAATAGATTGATTGCAATTAGAGCTTGTGCAGATATTATGGGTACTGATTTAATTTGTGTTGCTAGAACTGATTCAGAAGCTGCAACTTTAATTACAAGTACTATTGATCATAGAGATCATTATTTTGTTGTTGGATCAACAAATCCAAATGTTGAACCTTTGATTGATGTTACAAGAGAAGCTGAAGCTCGTGGAGCTAATGGTGATGTTTTACAACAAATTGAAGAAAATTGGGTTAAAAAAGCTGGTTTAAAATTATTTCATGAAGCAGTTATTGATGAAATTAAACTGGGTTCATATTCTAATAAACAAGAATTAATTAAAAAATTTACTTCAATTGTTACTCCAGTAAGTAATCATTCAAATAAAGAAGCAAGAAAAATTGCTCGTGAATTATTAGGTAAAGATATTTATTTTGATTGGGAAGCTCCAAGAGTTAGAGAAGGTTATTATCGTTATCTTGGAGGTACTCAATGTGCTGTTAATCGTGGAAGATCTTTTGCTCCATATGCAGATTTAATTTGGATGGAATCTAAATTACCAGATTATCAACAAGCAAAAGAATTTGCGGAAGGTGTTAAATCAAAATATCCAGATCAATGGTTAGCTTATAATTTATCACCATCTTTTAATTGGAACCTGGCATTATCTGCAGAAGAACAAGAAACATATATAAAGAGATTAAGTAAATTGGGTTATATTTGGCAATTTATTACATTGGCTGGTTTACATACAACTGCATTAGCTGTTGATAATTTTGCTAGACAATATAGTGAAAGTGGAATGAAAGCTTATGGTCAAACTATACAACAACCAGAAATGGATAATAAAGTTGAAGTTGTTAAGCATCAAAAATGGTCAGGTGCAGAGTATATTGACGATTTATTAAAGATGGTTAGTGGTGGTGCTAGTTCCACTGCTGCCATGGGTGCAGGTGTTACTGAAGAACAATTTAAAACTAAATTATAAGTTTATTTAAGTTATTAATTGGTGGAGATCATTTTATTAACTTCTAAAATACAAAAAAAAAAAAGAAAAAAAAAAAAAAAAGTTTGAAGATGAATAATAAATCAATTTTAGTAGTAGTTTTGCGTCCTTATCATCAAATTTTCTCCATTCTTATATATTTTTTTTTTTTTTTTTTTTTGCGTGTTGTTTTTCGTTTTTTAAATAATATTCAAATAAATATATATAAATGCTACATACAATCAATAATTATTATTTAAAAGTGGAAATAATAACTAACTAAATTATGTATATCTAATTAATTAAAGATAAAAAAAAAACATTATTTCTCATTTAGTTTTCAGTGAATTGGGAGTCCAACTTTCCTGCCTTAACCGCGTGAATAGTGTAGTGGTTTAGCATTCTAGCCTTCCAAGCTGGGGACTCGGGTTCGAATCCCGGTTCACGCATTTACTTAAATGCAAAGTCCTGGTTAAAAAAATTTTTTTTTCTAATATTTTTTTCGACAAATTATAGAAAAACATATTACTAATACTAAAAAAAAACTAATACTGTAAACTACTTCATTTAAAAAACCTATTTTTATATATAAATTTTTTAAAATAATTTATTTAATCATTGATTAATAATAATAAAAAAAGTTAACTAATATACTTTGTAATTCTACTTCAAAAAGTTATAAAAAATTTAGAAAAAATTAAAAAATTAAAAATTTTTAAAAAAAAAACACTTTAACTTAATAAAGCACGAAGTCTACGAACTTCATCCTCCAATTCTCCATTTCTCTGTAACAATTGTTCAACTCTATCTTCCAATTGACTCATTCTTTCCATTTTTCTTGCACGCGATCTTCTTGCAGCCTCGGTGTTTCTAGCTCTTTTAACAGCAACTGGATCATCCGAGTCAGTGAAAACAGGAGTTAATGGAGCACAACGTTGTTTTTTATGGTAACTTACAACACCCAAATGGTCTCTTTTTTCATTTTCAAGAGAAACAAGAGAACTAGAAGAGTCTTGGCGACGTTTTGAAAAAGTAGCACTTGACATTGAAGCAGAACAAGAGTTTGATCTAGAAGAAAGCTCCAAATCACCACCCATTAAAGGAGTCAACTCTGGAGTAACAATAGCACGAGCTGCATCACGAGCAAGAGTTTGATACTCTTGTACTTGTTGATGCTCTTGCACTTGTTGTTGCTCACCATTCTCAGATTCATTGTAAGAACGCTTTCTAGAGTTGGTATAAGACTCATTTGCTGGAACTGGAGAAGGTTCTGAGCGAGGAGCGTTATCGTTACGCAGCTCTTCAGCTTGTTCAGCCGGTTCAGTTTGTTCAACTTGTTCCGATTGTTCAAACAACGATACCCAGTTCCTCGAATCATCTTCTGCAGTGGTAAACATCGGAGAGTCATCAAACGATCCATCTGGATGGAATACCGAATTCATCAACGATAAATGAATTTCCATTGGTGAAATAGTATGTGAACCAGAAGTAGAACCTGAAACAGAACCAGAAGTAGAAACAGAGCTAGCGCGAGAACCAGAGCCAGAGACAGAACCAGATGTTGCATCAGAATCGGTATATGGCAAACTACCAAATTCCGATTTACCACCACCAACTTGCCTGTGGTGTAAGATATCAAACACCGACTCACCCAAGATTAAAGGAGCACTAGAGTTTGAGTTCAAACTAACATGCTGATCTTGTTGATCAGCATCAAAAAGGGACCCTGGCTCAAGCAATGAGCTAGGGTCAAAAGATAAAGAATTAGCGGCAACAGCTGACATGATTCTTAATAACGATTCTTTTTTTTATATATATATTTTTCTTGATAAATTTTTAAACAATAATAGATTAATTAAACACACAATAACAATATGATTGACGTCATCTTGGACGGAATTTTAACTTTGAAATAATTGAATATTACGACAACAACATGATGGGTAAGATTTAATTTGAAAAAGTTTTTAATTTTTTCTTTTCTTTTTCTTTTTTTTTAAAAAAAAAAATACTTATTCTAATTATTTTTTTCGGTTAATGATAAAACAAACGAAAAAAAAATGTAACTTAGATGAGAAATAAAAATATTTAACAACACATTTTTTAACACTTTTAAACTATTCTTTATAAAACACACACAAAAATAAAAATAAAATTTAAAAATAAAAGTAATAAGTAATAAATAATAATTTCTTGTTGTTTGTTAATATTTAATAAAGTATATAAAATATAATAAGTAATTATAAACTTTTTGGGAGATTTCCTGCTTATATAAAAAAATTTTAAAATTTCGAAAACCAAAAAAAAAAAAANAAAAAAAAAATTTTTTAACAAAAATTCGCGCAAATACGCTGAAAATTCTGTTATTTACGCCGGTGGCGGGGCAAAAATAATAAATTAAATTAAATCGTTTTATAATTCAGCGGAAGAATTAAGTGAAAGTGAAAGTAAAAAGAACGGCGACTTCAACGGCGACGTCAGCGGCAGCACAGTAAGCGGCAGAAAAAAGTTGGCGGCAAACGTAGCGCGCATTGTCAATAGGGCCAATAAGGTTGAAAAAAATGAAAAAGTAAAAAAGAAAGAAAGAGAGGAGGAAGAGAGGGGGCCACTGGCGCACTGGCCGCCGTGCACTAGACCCCGTGCACCGTCCACTGGCCAAACTATTCCCGCCCAAAAAATACTTAAAAGTTGTCTTTACAACAAGCAGGGTAAAATTAAATACATTTATTTATGACTCATTTTTTATATATTTATTTATTTACTGCTGCAGTCTTATCAGCTATTTGAATTGTTTCAAGTACTATATTCCAAAAATTATTAATATTCATATCATAACCTACTTTAATACCATTTTGGAAATTATTATCAAGAATTATTAATTTACCACTTTCTGGACCATTTTCAATTATTTGTAATTTATAAGTATTAAATTTAAATTCTAAAGGATAATTTTCATATTCAAGATTATAAAATGGTAATAATACAGCTACCGCTAATGGATCATGTACAGGTGGACCTTTTATAAAACCTTGTTGTTCAATATAAGTTTTTTTGAAAAAAATAATTAAATCATAAAGTAATTGTCTAAAATTTGTTATTGAATTACTTAAAATTTTTTTTTCAATTTCAATTGTTGCAATTGCTTTATGTGTTAAATCAAGTGGTATTAAAATTGTCTTTTCATTTAAAATAAAATCTTTAAAAATTATATTTGCAGCTTCTGGATCACACCAAATATTAAATTCTGAATTTAAACTCCAATTAAAAACATTAATACCTCCTCCCATTATTGATAATTTTTTTAAAAAAAATTTCAGTTGAGGATATTTAATGAAAATTTTTGCAATATTTGTTAATGTTCCTGTTGCAACTAATGCTAATTCATCTTTATAATCTAATATAGCTTTATAAATTGCTTCTATATAACCATTTTCATATGCTTTAACTTTAGGTTTAGGTAATAAATTTGAACCTTCTAATCCAGATTCTCCATGAATATTTGGAGCATATGATGGTTCTCTAATTAATGGTTTTGATGAACCTTTATAAACTGGTATTTCATTTTCTTTACCTATACTTGTAAGTACAGATAATGCATTATATGTAGTTTTTTCTAATGATGCATTACCATGAACTGTTGATATACCAATTAATTGATATTTGGGACTACATGCAGCCAAAATAATTGCAATAGCATCATCATGTCCAGGATCACAATCTAACCAAATTGGAATTCTCTTTTGATATCCATCAACCATTTTTATTAAACTGTTTTTTTATATATATATATAAAAAATGAAAATGAAATTTATATAGGAATTTATACCTAAATTTATATATTATTTTGGATCAAATAAACCGACGGTTTACTACTGCACATATACATATACATATATATAAAAGATACTTTTTGTAATCAATCATTAAATAAATATTTCTTAAAGAAATTAGCAGTTAACTTATCATTACCATTACTAATAATATCTTCTTGTTCCAAATAACTTTTAAATTCAAATCTAAGAATATTCAGTTGATCTTTTAATATTTTTAAAAATTCTATTTCACTTTCTTTAATATTATTTTCCAATAAAAATATACAAGTTACTTTTAAATTTTTATTTATTGATAAATATAATCCTATTAATTTATTTATATTAATATCATTTTTAGCTTCTTTTATTAATTTTTCAAAAATTGAACATTGTTTATCTATTAATATTAAATTTTTAGAAATTTTTTTAATATTATTTAATTTTTTTTATATTCTAATATATTATTTAAATCTTCACTTGTTCGATTTAAATCTTTTGAAGAATTAATCAATCTTAAATAATAATTATTTAAATCAACTTTAATATTATTTATAATATCAATTGAACCTTCAACACTTTTCCCCAAATTAATAAATTCATTATAATCATTATTTATTAACGTTATCAATTCATCATCCAACTCTTTAAGTAAACTAGTCAAATCATTAGATAAATCAGAAAGTGATATAAATCTATAGTTCTCATATAAAAAATCATCCATCTTAAACTCATCTTCATCATATCGTTTCCCAGTATCATTTAAATATTTCGATATCTTGTCGCTAAACGAGTACCTCGTTATCTTTAAAGGATATGGGAAATTTTCATCTACTTCAACTTCTTCTCCTCCATCATCTTCTTCAAACCCAAGAGAAACAGATTCATTCATTAAATCAGACATAAATTCTTTTCAATTTACTTTAATTCTAATTGAAATAAAGAAAGGAAAAATAAATTAAAAATAAAAAAATTTCAAATTTTGTTTTTTTTTTTAATTTTTCATTTTAAAAGTAATCTTTTCGTATTTAAAAAAAAATAAAATTAAAATATATATTTATTTTCTTTATATAAAGTAAAATAAAAAAAAAAAAAAGACGCGTTGTTTTGAATAGAATCTATCTTTTGAAAGATAATTTGAGGTAGATTAAGATCCTTGTCTATGATGACGGTGGATGTTGGACAGCTGCAGTTGGTGTTTTCATCTGGTTGTAAGACCATTGTCAAGTATTCTAATAAGAAGAATTTATTACTTGTTGCTGGTAAAGATGGGTTGTTGAAAATATTTGATCTAAGACATTTGGATAAAGAACCAACTATTATTGATATTAATGAGAATTTAACTTCATTAAGTTTGGATTCAAAAGAAGATAAGATAATCATTACTTCTAAAGAAGGGGAATGTACTTTGTATTCTTTGAAGAAAGAAGATAATTACGCGTTAATCTCTACTTTATCAAGAAGTATTTTACCTCTTCGAACTTGTTCTTTCAATCATAATTCTTCATTACTGATAATTGGTGGTGACGATTTAGAATTACTTATTGTTGATATTTTATCAAAAGAGGTTAATAAAATTTCATTACCAGAACAAGTTAATGATTTGGCATATAATAATTCTAATGATTTATTATCAATAA